ACAGTTGTTTATCTGGCTTCTTTTCTGGTTCCTGCTCCAAAGAGAACATGTGCTCTTTTCATCCAGAATGACCTCTTTGCTGTGTGAAGACTTCTCTGATTAACTGTGCAGCTGGAGTGTATTTTCCACTTCTCTTCATTTGCGTAGACAGTGCTCTGCTGGTTCTCCAGTTCTTCCAGTGAAGGTTTTCACTGATTACTGACCACAAATGATTCATTCACAGAGTTGAAGACAAAACAAACTACTATAGTCCCTGATGCAATTAACACACTCAACTGCTAACTGCATCACATGGGCTGTAGTGAAAGATGAGGACAGATTTCTCCCACAGCTGTATCAGTGTTCTTGGTAGCTGTGTCTATTGTACTGGGTGCTCTTCTCTACAGGACTTGACATGAACCATGTGGTTATTTTCAGGGGCTTGGATAAGAATTGTGTGAAACTACAAAGGGATACCATTTGGTAAACAGTATCCACAGATACTGTTCCTAGGAAACCTTTGACAGGTTTATCCTTGTGGACTGGAAGGGGGTAAAATAAAATTGGAGGTAGAGGAAAACTTGATAAAACAAAGCATTTCATGTTGACTGAGGGCAATGAAGTAAGCAAGGTACAGAAGACCAGCAACATGAAGGAGGCCAAAAGATGGAATGCTGAATGGGGAAGAGAATGGTTATGTCTTCTGTCAAGACCATTCCATTCTAGCTGCAAGATGTTCAGGTATGATCACTAAAAAATTGAGAAGTTATAACCTACTGCATTTTCAGATGTCTCCAATCTCTTAAACTCATGTTCTTCAGTACAGAAATACTACCAGTGGCTCATATCAGACTAACCTTTTAGGACTGAAGTAGCTTCCCTCAGCTAATTCTGCTTCTCACTGTAGAATTTTACAGGCTAAGAAACAATGCATGAGAAATGCTGTCCCCATACAGAATTCTAATTTTAAAGGCTTAACAGTGATGCACAGTAATTATAATTTGCAGTTATTGAGTTTCACAGAAAATCTTACACTATTTATTATATAAATGTGCAACAGACTTATTGCAAGGCATCAGCAATACTTCTGGGCATTGCTTGCTTCACTGCATTTACCTTTAAATATTATTAAAAAAAAAAAAAGTGCTAGTTTACAAAAACCATAGGGTGCAAATACTAAATTGCTGCTGTATTTTTACTTACTCTTCCTTTAGTCCATCTAGAAACCAGAGTTTTATTCCTTTGGAGCATAAAAGGTAAGCTGAAGATGTGATCTTGGATCCTGCTTTCTTCATGAAAGCAAACTCTAAAAAGGTTAGAATAACATTTTATGCTTTACACTGTTTTATTATACAAAACAAGCGATTTATTAAATATCACATGTCATAATTCAGAAAGACATACAACTGCACAGAGACATGGCTTTTGCTCATATTGTAGCTTGTCCCTTAAAATCAATATGATGCTCTTCTGTCCTTTTCAAAAGAAGAGGACAAATCTCTAGTTAAGTTTTGGTATGCTTCTAAATGAAGCCTTTAAATACTGTCTTTCTTCTTAGTACTACGCATGATTTGAGTTCATACTCCTCAAACACTACTATTCTTAAGCCAGTCGCACTGCACAGTGATCAGCTGATGTCCGAAATCTGGGTTATTTCATCTTTTATATCTTTGATCTCAGTTTGAACTTTTGTTAGATTGGCCAGTTTCTCATTCAGTAAAGCAACTTCCTTCTCCCGTTGCAATACATCCTCCACTAATCTTCCTATTCTCAGAGTAAGGTCATTTATTAATGGCTCCATGATGGCAAAATCTTTTTTAAGCTTGTACATCTTGGGTTTTAAATCATTCGCAAATGCAACCGTCTTCAGAACTTTCGCTCTGTCACTTTCGAGATTCAGGAATCTATCCGAGTGCTTGTTAAAATCACTCCTTAACTCAGACAATGCTCTCTCAATTTGCTCAATTCTTCTTGCACTACTGGATGCCAGGCTCTGTAGTTCTGTACTTCGGTCAATGCTACTGGTAAGCAGGTCACCTATGGTTTTAACTGTCTTCTTGTCACCTTTTTCTACTTTATCTTCTAGTGTTTGCAGAGACTCTGTCAGCACAGTCATATCTGAGACTAGGCCTGAAATGCGCCTTATGTCAGTTTTTACTGTCACAATTGTCAAAGTTATGTTTTTTGCTACAGAGGCTGCATTCTGTTCAGTGCTTGAGACTGCATGAAAAAGGGTTGTTAAATTCTTCTGCAGTTCTTCTTCTTTTTTAATTATGCCATTAGACCTTGTTTTCATTGTATAAATATCTTCCTGCAGATGTTTGATGTGAGAAATTATTTTATCATCTTCTAGCTGTTCCATTAAGTTCCGAGTCTTTTCACACTAGAAGGATACAAATAAAAATATTTTACAAGATTTCTAGCTAAACACCTCACATCAAAATAAAAGCTGGACTCCAATGAAGTATCTTACTATTCTGATACTGAAATGGAGTGCAAACCCTGTCTTCAGAAAATAAAACTTCTGTTGTGACATAACAAAAAATTTTGTATTGGTTTTTTTTTTCCTCCCAGTATACATAACATCTACAAATCTTACTACTTCTTTAAAGAGATCAAAAACTTCAGCAAAGTGCTATATGACTTTCCAACATGACCTCTAAAAACACAAAGCATCAAATGCAATCTTCCTCTGATTTATGGAAATGTTTGTATCAGGCCTATAATCTCTGTGATCTGGACACGTACAAAGATACTCAGAAACCTTTAGAAAGATGTCTACTTTGAAATTCCCTTATGCAAAAACATAGAACCTGCTTAACTGATGTGGTTTTATTTTGGGTAACCATAATATGAATCTTGAACACGTTATTCACAGAAGAAAAAGCAGAAAGAACTAGGCATGGTTCCCTTTAAAAAACCACCAAAACATCTCAGTGGAGAAACATTACTTAAACAGCCAGCCTCTGAAAGAGCTACTTCAATGAAGGAACACTCATGCTGCTGTTGGATTCTTGGCTGAATTTGTTAGTTCACTTTTTAATTTTTTTAATAGTTTTGAAATTTGAGAGGAATGAAGGAAAATACGAGTGACACGATCCTGTCCAATCCCAAATAAATCAGTGTAGAACTTTGAGACAATAAAACACCAAATCAGCAAGTTGAAACACATTTTAAGAGACTATAATTAGTTTCATACTAATCCTTTTCTTGACACTAGTAGTAAAAAGCATCACTGTTTTTTACAGTGTCATTCCTCACTACCAAAGATAAGTTTGCTTAAAAACAAAACAAAATTTCTGTTGTAAAGAGTTGTGATGGTTTCATAGGTAATACCCTCTAAGGATGAGGACCTCCTGTTCCATCTTGTATACATGCAGGTTTCAGTGGGTTTGAGGGTGTTGGAAGACATTAAATTGGGGAGCATTCCACAGTTAATTTAGCCATCCTTCCCCAAACATACATGAAGTAGAAACACATCTGGCAAAAGCACTTTAAAAACATTTTGACATATTTCTTAATGGACCACTGAACACTCAAGTATTTATTCCACACTCTTTTTGGGAAGAGCAATTTATTTTTAATTAGATTATGCATGAGGACAGGGCAAGCAACTACAATATGTTTATTAATATCACTGTAAACAGGTACAAATATATATATAAGTTATAAATATGTGACATGGACAGACTTTATAACATGGAGAAATGCTGGTTTAACAGTCTCTTGAACGGGCAGCATTAACTGTTTCATGAAGATTTCAGTAGACTTCTAGATAACTGAATGTACAAAACCAGAATTTAACTTAAGCCTGATGAAGGCATCCATGTTATGGGTTCATACTGTCTACTAAGTAATCTCCTTTTCTGAGTTCAGAAATAGGAAATTATCAAGACCTAAGTCTGTAGACACAAATTTATGGTGGTCCTGAGATCCAGATTTCAATGTATAGCTATCAGGCCTGGCAGGTAGTACTACAACCTGTTTAAGTCTATCTATTAGACCTGTGGATAAATAAGACATTCCCTGCCACCAAGTACATAACTCCATGGGTTTCATTAGTTGCTTTTCCAGCTTTTGATTCACCAAACTTTGGAAAACAGTGTCAGTGATGTCGTTATGTTTTTTTTTTCCCCCCTTTGAAATCCAAAGCAACACCAGACATGCCATGTAATACCTAACAAAAGAACATTCTATAGAAGAAAAGGTTAAAACTTATTTCTAACAGCACCAGAACAAAAAAATAAAACCACAATACCTGCTCCTCCCACCAACTAATAGTGACTGATCACACCAAACTTAAAAATTAAATGGTGCAAGAAGAACCTAACAGGAATACCTGGTAATAAGAACTGGACTCTGTATGTAGTCCAAAGACTTCAGTGGCAGAACAAAATGATACCAGGGATTTTATGAAGTTTGAGAAGGCTGGAAATGAGGTCTAAGGAAGCTATTTACATGGGGTGAAAGAAATAAAAAGTAACACCAGCTACTACGTAATCTGCTTATAAATACCTGTACAAGAGAAGCTTCTCAGTAAGGGGTACTTTACTAGTGCTTCCTGTCAGGCTGTTGCATCTAAGCTTCAGCTGTTAAAAATGTGCTTAGTGCTTTCCTGCATGTAATAAAACATGTAGATCCCAGTAACAACTCTGACATTAAGAGGTCTGTACCATATGCACAAAACCATCATAGTATATATTACATTAAAAGTGAGGTACAATGCATATTTGCCTAGAGAGATGAAGTTAAATCTAAATACTTGACTTAAAACTCCTTTTTAATAAAAACAAGCTTTTAATATATAAGCTGAAAATAATCCTTAAGAAAAATACTCATCTCCTCCTTCAATAAAGTATTCCTGCCCTCTCGCCTATTAAGTTTGCCTTTCAGTCTGATCCACTGCCTATTTAAAGTAATAACAGTATTTCAGCTATCCATAATGTGTTGGAGTCGCATTGTTTATAATAAATTAAAGTGCTTTTGTATAAATTAAAACCCAAAGTCCAAATTAACTTATCTCAATTCTGGTCATTTTCTAAGTTGTAGTTCTCTAAAGTTATTTCTTGTGCTGTTGAAGATACTTCTAGATCATGCACTACTTCTTCCAAAACTACTTCATTCTGCACTTTCAAGATGCTGTCATTGTACTGCATGCTTTCAAAAACCTTCTGCATCGCTACTGTAACAGAAACAGTTTTCAACATATCCTTTTCCACACTACGTAGCTGTGTTGTCAAGTCCTCTATCTTTTTCTCCATACTTAGCAATTCACTTGATAATCTCAGAATAGAGTGAATAGCATTTTCAATTGTTGGCAAATGGGTCTTGCACTCTTCAAGTTTAGGTTCATAGTTTGCAAGTTTCTGATTCAGGTCTGTATCCTTGGCTACTAGACTATTCTGTTCTTCTTCTAGCTTTTCAACTGCCTTTGCATGCAAGTCCAACTTCTGTTCAATTCTAGAGAATTCATCACTTTCTTGCCTTTTTAGTGTTCTAGTATTTCTGTCTGTACTGTCTTCCAAATCTCTTACTCTTTCTGAAAGGGATTTAATTCTTTGGTCAACTTCATTAATTTGGGAAGTAACTTCTGCATGTATGAACTTCACTTCAGATTTTAAACCACTAGTGTTTGTATTCATTTCATCCACACTTCTTCTCCAGGAATTTGTAACATTTTCGACCTTCTCATTAATGCTCTGCATCTTTCTAGAGAGGATCTGTTGATTGTTCTGAACATCATTTATTAAGTTACGAAGAGAAGATATTTCCTGCTCAAACTCAGTCATCACAGAGGGGGATGAGGCAGCTTCTCGAAGGACACTTTCAGAAGACTCAAGCTGCATTTATAACACAAAACAATGTCCATGTCTACTTAATGAAATAACAGAAAGCCATTTGCATTTATTTAACAGAGAATGAAGTCCCTTAGAAGCCACTTTACTTGTTACAAAGCTCCACTATATGACTAGTTTTCATCTTTAAAATATTGTTGATTAACCTGACATGAATAAGTCAGAGAAAGGGGTTTGTCACTGAATTTCTGTACAATACATGCTATCTTCTTTTTTTGTCAATCCCTTATTTTCCATTATGGTGTTGCTTTGTTTTGTTGTTGTTTTGTTTTGCTTTTGTAAAATACATCACACTACCTAAATCCCATGTAACATCTCGCAATCTGAAGTGCAGTGTATAAATATCCACATTACATCATGTATACATGACATAAATGATGAGATCAGTGCTAAAACAACATCACTGGCGCAAGCCATGCTATACTCTCATGATTATGTATAAGATAAAGGGGTAGCTAACTCAAGTTTTCTGCTTGATAACGTCACACGTAGGTAAGAAAATTAAAAAGCAATAAAAAAATAATACTATCACTTCATTAGTTCTTTCATATTATTAGAACAGGTCTACTACATAAGTATGCCTTGAAGTTTTCTTCAAATCAATGTATAGTAGAATTAGTATAGAACAGTAGTAGTAGAATGAAGTATGTGCATTAATCTAAGTTTTATAACTACTTTAGTGTCTGAAAAATAATACTGAGATACAGCCACTATTTGCACATACTTGAACAGATAAAATTTTATTCTAAAAGTCAGTTAAATTTAAATAAATGACAACAAAGTAAAATAATGGCAAATGCTTATCAGAGATTATCCAAATAAGGTCTTATTACCTTTTCAGAAATGAAGTTAAGTTTATTTTCCATATTCAAGAATTTTTCATTTTCTTGCTGTAAGAAATTGTACTTTTTTTCCATATCAGCAATTTGACCTGACTGCTGATATAGGAACCTGCAAATTGTAGATAAATATATAGTAAGTGTAACTACATAGTTAGCATATTTTAAATGTTCCAAGACCTGATTCATAGCAACCCGTTACTGCAGCAATTTGTGTTCACAAAATTTGCTAGATCAATGCATGAGAAAAAAAAAAAAAAAGAAAAAAAGGGTTTAATGAAGTTGATCTGTCTTAATACAGGAGTTATCTTCCATACAGGTGGAAAAATAAGGAAAGATCCAGAGATGTTCTTCCTTTTTACACAGCATGCCATTCAAACAGGAAAAATATCTGATAAGCCTACTGACATAGGGAGGCCTTTACATGTTCGTAATGGATTATTTCACAGGTAAGGTAATATATTTTATTGATAAAATGTTATTCAACAGGTGGAAATAAAGACCAAAAAAAATGGACTTGCCTTTGGATCTTATTTAGAAAGGCAGGTTAACTGTAATCTTGTTTAATTGTAATAATCCAAGAACATATGATGCATTGGGGCAAAGCTTATATGGCTACTGTTATGACTATGCTGGCTCTGAACAGACAGTAGAGCTCTGTCCTGTGCTTTAGATACACAGGAGATTCCTGTACTGGGACTTTGGGAGCTTTCCAAACTGCAAGTACTTTGTCCAGTTAAAACAGAAAAGAGAAAACCAAGCAAAAAAAACCATCAAATTTTTAAGATGTTCATTAATCCTGACACAAGGTTTATTGTAGACTATGCAGGGCATCCTCCCACCAGTAAAAATAGTTTTATCTAGAACAACAGAGTTTATTTTAAATACTTGTGCTTTCAGAAATCGGTACATTATTAGTACATTGCACAGTAATTAGGAGCTTCAAAAGATCTATGATCATCTATACTGATTTTGTTTGGCAATAAAAGCAAAAATGTTAGCTATAGCTAGATAAACACAAACCAGACATAAACAGATATAAATAAAACAGTAAACAGAAGCATCACTAATAATTTTATTCTACTATGGTTCTGTTTCTCCAAGATTTAGATAATGAAATCTAGGTGATATTAAAATAAGAACAAATTTTACCTTAATTTTCATATTGACATAAAGGCAATAATCTGGCCTACTTTGTTGCACTAGAGTTCTAAGAATTTAATCATATGGTTTTGGAAGAAGTTTCAGTTTCAGGAACTAAGGTGCTCATGCTGCTAAGATACTCTAAAACATCCTTTACAAAGACATTTGACCTTTACTTGAAGTCTCCACCTGAAGAACAATTTATCACACTGCTGAGCAAATTATTTACAGAAAACTCTACTTTTTTTCTACTGTTGATTTATGTACCTGCCAAATAAGCTTTGTTGTACTTATTGTCAGATTAAGCTGCCCTTCACAGATAGATGTAGTCTCCAAAGCAGATATTTACAATTCATGAGCAAGGCACCTTTTAAACTTTCAACACAATAGAACAAATTGAGCTTCTATAACCTCTAGCTATGTAACAATCCTTTCACACTTGTGAACAATACTATTCCTTTTTTTACCCTTCCAGCTTCTCCAAGTTTCTACACTCACTTAACCCAAACATTATATTCAAATGTAACCAACCTTATTACCCATGAAGGAATACAGTACAGAATACAAAAGAAAACATTAACATGTCCTTTAGAGGGTTACCTACCAGGTCAGCATCTGGCAAAAGGCAACTGACATTATACTCAAAGCAGTTCTTGAGTCCAGCCAAAAAGAACTCCGATTATTCCTGGTTCTGGTACTTCCCCGCTTCCCACAATTAGTGTGCTTCTCAACATTTTGTAAACCTTCATTGGTCTTGGATGAAGAACTACCTTTTTTCCTCTCCTTAATTTCAGACATTTTGTGTTTTTAAAAAGCAGAAACAAAAGAGAGAGCTAGGAAAAAAACGCAGAAGAGTCAAAACAAGAAAGGACCTGTTACTTCTAAGCATCCCCAAGTACAACCTTTTGCCCTTTAGTTAAACAAATATATTCCCAAAAAATGCTTCAGCTTTTATTATGTTTTCTAGTTAAGCAAACTTTAATAAAATATCACAATACTTTCATAAGACTTTGCAAAAAAAATTGCTTTCAATACTGTAGAGCACTGTGTTCACATTTTCTCAAACAGATCTGACTTTTCAAACTTTTACCTCATTTCACCCTTACAGAAATATTTTGTCTGTTGCACAATACAGCATTTTGAAGATATTTTTAAAATCCTTAGAACTGAGAGCACTGTTTTTCTTTCTATAGTTGACTACTGTCCCAATTTCATCAGCAATTTCACTATCTTGTTTTATTGCAGACTAAAAAATAATCAATTCTTACCTATTCCACATGAAGGGGGCAAATACATTTTCTCATTTTTAGAAATGAGACTGCAAATTAAGACTTAATTTAGAAACAGTTCTGTTGTTATTACTTAATGTCACCCACAGAGATCTGTTAAAGCCATTAGCAGAAAAACAGAGATTTATGATATAATGCATCTAGATAAAAGAAAAGCTATAATTTCCTCTTTGCTAAAACTGACATCCAAATAGATTCAAGCAATATGAATCTGCAGTTTCAAAGAGTACAAAAGCTCATCTTCTAACCAACCAAATAGAAGTATAGAATGGAATTTTTAAGCCTGAAATCTTCTAGCATACTGCTCAAAATAGACTAGATCCTCGGTGGATTTGGTTTAGCACAGTTTTTGAGACAAAAATATCGTGCTTCTTTCTGGATCACATTGCAGTAGTGAAGCTTAGTCGCATGCCAAAATATAAATATTTAAATATCAGAGATAATTAATGTAGTCACATACATTCGTAAAAGGCACAGTTTAAAAGCTGTCAGAGGAATATGAAACTTAGAGCTGTGTGTGAGTCGCAGTACTAGGAAGCATGCTCGGACTTTGAAGTATGTTCGAAAAAAGTATCTCTTGCTCTCCCCCTAATATAGCAAAAATGGTATTTTATAACTTTTAAAACACCTCTGGGATTGAGACCACGTATTATGAAGTAGAAAAACAAGAAAAAGGAAAGGAAAAAGAAAAAGAAGCGCGATCTGAGTGTTAGGTAGAGAAAAATCGTTCAACATAGGAAGAAAACCTCAGCTGTAGCAAGGCCAACTTCAGAGCGCATCCCCACACAGAGCAAAGAGCCGCAGCTCTCCAGAGACCCTCCTGCCGGACCCTTCCTCACCCCCTCTCCCAGTGCGGGGCACCGAAAGTGACCGACCGCCCCCCTACCTCCCCACGGCACTTCCACACCCGCTCCGCCCTCGGGGCTCCCAGCAAACCCCCCCAGCCCCGAAGCCGCCACCCGCCCTCGGACCCCGTCCAGCCCCAGCCGCCTCCCGCGGCCCTGCCCGCCCACCGCCCCC